TCTTCCACTGTGGTGTTGGTCTTGCTTCCACTTGGAAGGCTAGGTATGTCATGAAGGGCATGGAGAAGTTCAAAAAGCAAGCAAGATCAGGTGCCTATCTTGCCCCTTTCAGTGTACTTTGTGTTTCCACCCCATTGTATGGTACCTGTTCATGCAAGACAAAGGCTTTCACTGGACTTTTCCTGCCTCTCAGCGTGCTGTCATCTTGTCTGTAGGTGGGATTCATCCCAGGAACCTTCGTTGCCTCTTCAACGGTGCAAATCTGAAGTGCAGCTGGGAAGTGAAGAAAGCGATTGCCAGCTCTGTCATCTTTGCCTTGTTCTTCAGGACCACTCCAGCATCAGCGTACGGGATCTGCCAGTGGCAGCACACTTACCTCTGCCCATCCCGTTGGGCTGCTGCTCTGTGCCATTCCTGCTGATCTCAGCACCACCTCCTTTTCTCCCCTCAGGGAAGAGGAGTGCACTCCTGTGTACGAGAAGGCTTTGCCCCATGTGCCATATGTGGTGCAGAGCTGTGGGATCCCTGTTAGCAATAAGTGTCTGTGCGGACCAAGACGGAGGAGAAATTGATAGAAGCCTACAAGAACAGTGAGTTGCTGTGTGGAGTCTTGCCTCTCCTGGGAGCTTTTTGGGAGGGTGGCTGCATGGGCAGGATGTGATGAGGGCAGTCAGTGGGAGTGAGGAAAGGTGTTTGGGAGGAAGAAGAGATTTGACTTGGTAAGGGAAGCATATGGTTGATGTGGTGGGTCGGATCCACTGGAGCTCCCTGGGGTTTGTGAAGTTGTCCCTGGAGCACAGCATGAGGTAGGGCTGATCTGCTGCGTGAGGTGTGACAGTGGATTGTCTCTGCCTGTATGCACCTAGAGGTACTGGTGATGTTTTCACAGACTGGAGCCAGGGAGAGTTCCGCAAAGGTAGAAGAGATCACTTTGTAAGTGAAAATCTTAGGAAAGGTGATGGATGATACCAGAAGATGGTGAATGGGTGTGCTGGGTCTGTTTGTTGATATGTACTCTGAGATATTCTCTGTGTTCTAGTTAAGGTGCTGCCACCTGCAAATGTGTCAGTGGAACTGATGAAAAACCAAGAGTATGAACTGAGGTGGAAAAAACACACTTTATGGTATGATCCACTGCTGTACCAAGTCCAGTTCTGGAAGCACAACCAATATGAAAAGGTGAGTGATAAGAAGTGCTGGATTTCTCTTTGCTTTGTGACTGGGGATATCAGTTCCTCTCACCTCTTTCATTTGTGCTTCTTTCCTCTCCCCAGACTGTGCAGACAATAAATATTACCAATGATGAACCTCCCTTCATCTTCACTGATCAGATGTTGTCACCGTCTACAAAGTACAGGGGAAGAATGCGTGCAATGGTGAATAAACAGGATTATCAGGGATACTGGAGTGAATGGAGCGAGGAGTTCGCCTGGGAAACTGAGAATGGTACTTTTCACCCAGGCAATTTTTGTCAGGTTTTGTGTACGGTGTAGGGTGGATGAAAAGCCTGTAGAGAAACACATACGTTCTTGTGATGGATGTTGCAGGTAGATCCAGACACGTAGCTGTGGTGGGGCTGCTTAACACGGTCACTGTTCTGTGTGCACCCTTTCAGTGCAGCAGGAATGCTAACAAAGGCAGTGAGCAGGATCGAGCTTGTAAGCATCTTTCCTGCTTGCCTTCCCCAGGCTAATACAGGTAGCTGTGAAGGTTTCCACGTGGAGAATCAAGAAAAGATCCTAGCCAAAGACCACTACTGTTTCCTGATCCCATTAATATATTCTGCTTTAAGGAACTGAGGAGCTTGAGAATGCAGGATGACAGGACAAAAATCAGCCTTTTCATTTTACAGAGTCTGTGGCTTTGAGCAAAAGACACACTGGATTGTACCGGAGATGCAGACCATATCATGTTTATGCAGTTTCTGGAGTTAGAAGCAGAATGCCTGTGATTACTATGGTCATGTGCCCAAAGATATGTGACATTCATATTCTAGAATTTGTCCCTGGGAAGCTTGAAGTAGCAAAATGTTCACCTCGATGTTCATCTACATCCATCAGCAGAGGCAGCTCAGGAGAATCTCTGAGATTCCCATCTCTCCAGGACTGTACAAAGTCAGGCAACCTAAGGCCTCTGTAGTCCTCTAACGTTCATGGTGAATTCCGCTACCTAACCTGGCTTTTATTGGGATAAATTATTTTCGCCAATGTCAGTGAAGACTAGAAAAAGAATCAGTGAGGGAAAAGATGACTTCCTTTGGTCATCAATAAGGTATTCAGGACACATTTGTTCTCTTCTCTTCTACTTCCCAGATATGCTTTCGTGAAGAATGACCTGAATGCAACAGCTGTTATGGAAGGGGGGCCTCAAATGTTGACTTCCCGTTTCTTTTTTCTCTCTTTCAGTACTTTCACCAGTGGTTCTCCCATTGATGCTCCCAGTTCTCATCATCACTTTGCTCGTTGTTGCTTACTGCAGCTCTAAGTATTTACTCAGGTAAGTTTGTGCCGTGAGGATGCGATTCAGCTGTGTGTTGGCCACATTGGCCATGGGAGTGGAATAAAGGGTGAGGCACTGCTTGTCTGCTATGAGAGTGGTCTACGCAAAGAGAAGCTTTGGTGTGCAGTGTCAGCCTTGTGCATAGCTGCATACCAGTGTGAGTTTGCTGCTGGCCTCCCAGGCCATGGTGGGGCCACGCAGAGCAGCATGGTGCATGAGGTGGAGTCTCTTCTTCTCGCCACACTGAGACACGAACCTTGAAAACTGTGTGTTGCTGCAGGCAGAAGAAGCTGTGGGAGGAAAAGATTCCAAACCCCAGCAAGAGTCTGCTGATCCAGAGCTACTTGAAGGTAAGAGGCATCTGTATCTTTGAAGGCTCATTCTTTCTTATTCTTCCTGAATCCCAATAATGCCAAGAGCTCCTCTTTGTCACCTAATCTGCAAGGAACGTGCGCTTCAATTAGTCTGTTCCTTATTGCTAGGAGAAGTTCAGTCCATATATAAGCTAGGATATTTTCAGTAGTTTAAGAATTTAGCTGACTGAGTCAATCCAGCGTCATTTGAAACTTCAATATCTGTTGCTTTTCATTGTCTCCAGATAGTAACTACTCAGAAGGTTTTATAATGAGATCGTAGGTCTGTTTAAGAAGCTTTTATTTTGAGGGGTTGAATTTTCTGGAATAAACATTACTACATGCCTTTCTGTTACCATTCCTGTCTTGGAATGAGAGGAACGTAGTTAGATAGCATTTGTTCGATGAAGTATCCTTCCCTCCCTCCCTCCTTCCTCCAAAAGTGAAAAAGGAATGTTTGGAATAGGTGAATTTTGGTGGTAAAACACTTCAGTCTTGCAAGAGTAGAACTTCTAATTCTACAGTGTTCCCACTCTACTCCCACTGCCCTCCCAAACCTGTTTTTGTGCAACAGTTGACTTCATTCTATCTTAATAACCTGGCAGTACAATAGTTAAAGTTGTTACATGACCTTTGTGTGAGGCAAATGGACACTTACATATCTACATTTGTGTGTGAGTGAGTGCCAGGACCTGGTTCATACGATTGGCCTCAGCTCATCAATCCAGTCTGCCCAGATCCCTCTGCAGAGCTTTCCTACCCTCAGGCAGATCGACACTTCCTCACAGTGTGGTGTCATTTGCAAATTTACTGACAGGGCACTTAATCCCCTTGTTCAGACTGTCAATAACAATATTAAACAGGGCCAGCCCAGTACTGACCCCTGGAGAATGCATCATCTGCATTTAACTCCATTCATCACTCTTTGGGCCTAGCACTCCAGCAAGTCTTTTTTACCCAGTGATGGGTACATCTACCTAAGCTCTGGATTGTCAGCTTCTCCAGGAAAATACTGTGAGAGACAGAGTCAAAGGCTTTACCAAAGGCTAGACAGAGTACACCCACAGCCTTTCCCTCATCCACTACATGGGTCCACCACCTGGTTGCAAGAGATAAAGACCTGCCTTTCATGAACCCATGATGGCATAGTCTGATTCCCTGGTTGTCTTGCATGTGCTGTGTGACTGCACTGAAGATGATCTGCTCCATGACTTTCGCAATATGATAACCTGCTTCCCTATCCACAAGCATTCAGTGCCTTAATTTCATGGTTTTGAAAGTTCCCATCCTTGCATTGAATCATCTTATCCCTTGTTTTGTAAACATTCCAATAATTCTATTTCTCTGGTCGCCTCACATAGATAATAGACTTTCAACTTTTACAGGTGAAACATTGCCTGGAGAAAACAACTATTTCTATCACTGAAATTGTACCCAACTTTACTAGAGCATATTACCAGATGCTTTAGGCTACTTGTTTTCCTTCTCCATGGGCAATGCGTGGGTCTTGATTCTATTGCTGGTAAGACGCTTCTCATGTCTGCTCTACTTTCTTTTCTTTTCCAGAAAGTTCCTCTAAGAAACAGGCATGCAAGCAGCCAGCTGGACTTCAGCAAATGCAGCCTTGCGGAGAACATGGATCAGCCTAGCTTCCTTCAAGTTGTGGACAGGTGAATGAAGAGCACATTGCAGTCACACTGTGAATGACATGCTCATAGAGCTCCCTAACTCATGGGAAGCCATAGTCAAATGTTCTGTCACCAAAAACCCCATGGCAGTAACTTTTGAGCTTGGGATACAATTCTGTGCTATTTGGTGTAACTTGCTCACCTATACCGATCATTCTAACCTTAGCTATATGCATAGCTACTTCAGTTTTCTACTAAGCTTGTGTTTCTGCTTTGTGTTTACCATAAATACATATCTCATGAGCAATTTTTAACTGTCCCTCCTTCAGGCAGATGAAGATTTTGGCAGAGTCCCCTGAAGTGCAGACTGAAAGGACAAAGGTTTCTTCTCCTGCATTGGACCTACAGCACCCATGCCATGCTTTAAATGCCCCATGTGTCTGCCCAAGGACAAACTGTGCTGATGCAAGTATAACTTCCCAGACAGTAATCACTTGCTTTGCTTTCAATGGCCCATACTTGTACAGCCCAGTGATGTCTTCTCAGCCTGAGGTGCAACAGACCCTGGATGTGACTTTGAATCCAATGGGAAAACAGGAGAAAGCAATGTCCCTGCAGTACGTGAACCTTCCAGACAAAGCCAGTCCCCAGGCTGCACAGAGGCAAGAGCAGCCAGGAGCAAGTCCTCTGCAGCCCTTCCTGCTCCCAGAGCAGAAGGAAGTGATGCAATACCTCAACAAGAAGGAAATTTCACCACTTCCCATCACCTGTGGGAAAAGCACAGACGTGAGAACAGAAGAGCAGAAGCCTCCAGAAGCTCCTGGCTGTCCGGCGTTCCTTCAGCAGTGCCCCTTGGAGTACATCACCACAGACAGCCTGTTGCTGCCATCAGCCAGCAGCACCACACACCTGCCACTTGCCACTGCTGAGGGGAAACCCTGTGATACACAGGAGACCCAGCAGGCCACTCAGCTGTTCAAAAGCCTGAAGTCAGATGATTACTTCTCCTGGCAGCAATCTTTGAGGATCACAGAAAATCTGTTAGAGTAAATATCAGTGAATAGAAAGGCTAAGAGTAGTTGAAAGAGGTGGCAGCTATCTGATAAAAATGAACTCTGCAAGCTAAGAGCAAATAAACAATTCCTTTTTCTATCTTCCAGTGCAATGTGTTGAAAGCCATGGCTTGATCTCATCCTCAGTGACCTTTGCAATTTTGTCATGAAAGGCAATCTAAATATTACCATGTTGAGAGACATGGTGTTTTTGAACTTTTAGGCTTAACATGGAGACATTACTGAAATATACATATTGGAGGAATTCTTAAGGACTTACTCAGTACAGTAAAAGGAGTGGAATGGGCGAGTAAAGGAGAACAAGATGAGAGAGAAGATATGGAGGTGCAGAAGCCTGTGTCTGGTGGGGTTTTTCCATTTCTGTATGTTAAAATATTAAAATGATTTTCTTTTAAGTTCATTGGATGTTTATGCATGTTATAATTCATCTTAACTACGTGACGTGTTGGGTTTTTTTTTTGTTTTTTCTTCATATGCTGTATTGGAAAAGAGGAACCACTCTTTTACTTATTCTGCTTCTGTAAAGAATGTGTTGCAAGATAGATGCACAGAACTGCCACTCTGTGATTAGTAAAAGGCTTTGGTTTTAGATCGAAGGATAAGCTTGCCATTCCAAATATATATATATTTTATCTAATAAAAAATATTATTTCTTCTTACAAATATCTTCTTTCATACCTTAAGAATGTTGTACTTACAAAAGCATCAGTCATTTGAACAGGCCTTAAAAGACTCTCTAGGTTCAGAGCTGCCACTTACGAAGTAGAATGTTTTCTCTTGAGTTTGCTGTATTATTTGACAGACCTAATGAGGAGAAGTTCTGTGTTTGTGCCTGCTGATTCCTCCTGCTGGTTTAATGGGACAATGCTGATTCAGAAATTGCAGACAAATGCATTATTTTCCCCCCATTTAATTCCTTACAAATACTATTTTAAATCTGAAAGGAGTACAATTTGATATTCCTGAAGGCAAATGGCAGCTACTAACAGAGAATATTGAGGAACACCTTAAATGATTTTCAGTTTTTTTTAGTCTCTTTGGTCTTTTATGCATAAGAAAGCCATTTTCTTCCAGGCTGTATGGTTGTGTTCTATCTAGGCTGGTACTAAAAGGAGATGCTCAAATTCATATGCAAATCAGGTATCTGGATTCAGATCTCTGATATATCATCTTGATGGGCCTTGAATTGCTACGGTTTTAATAACCAAGAAGAATAGGCAGTGGGAGAATTTCTGCTCCACTCAGAGTTTTCAAATGAAGTTCATTTATGTTGTGATCAGAACTCTGAGCATTGCCTATTCCTCCTGCACTTCACTGGGCATTTGAAGAGACAGCTCTTGGAGACAGGATTTATGGATACAAAGATATTTATAGGTGCAAGAACATGATCCCACAGAGCAGCATGAATAATGTGAAAATTACTTGAGGAGCTTGGAACTTGAAGAGTAACATGCCACTGTCCAGGCAGAAGAGCTCAATGGTGGTTTTCATCAGCAACTGTAATAATCATCTTGGAACAGAAATAATTTTTGCTATAAGGGTTAGCTGTGCAATATCCACCTAAGCATCATTAAAGAAAATATGCAATGGACAATGGAAGCAGGAGAAGAACGTACAGCTTCTCTGTGCTAGGGAAGTCCAATTATTACAGAGTTTCAGAATCAGAGCTTCCATAAATTTTGTCTTTGTCTTACATTCCTTTCTGCATGAGGCCTAGTTGCAGTTGGAATGCTAAAATCATGCAATTCTGTGTTTTGTTGGCTTTGGATCTGTTGCATTTCCTAGGTCTTAGCTTTCCTGATCAGTAGCTCAAGCCCCAGAGTTACTGTGCAAAAGGAGGTTGTGGCTACCTTCCCTTACGCTAGGTACTCGTATTCAGGAAAGGAAGCATTATGATGGTTGGGCTATATGACTTTAGTAGTCTTTCCAACATTAATGATTCTGTGATTCTGATGACACAGGATGCACTTGTAATAGGCTCTAGTGATTAGGTTTGCTACAAAGCAATTTAAGTCCCTCACCCTTTATATCTGAGAGGTGGTTCTCCTGTATTTCCTAGGTAGCCAAAGTGGACATCTCAATTAATAGTGTAGATCACCTTTTACAACTCTCTGACTCAAATTTCAAAGATTCTGCCTGTGTTTTGACAGTAAGAAATTTTCTCTTTCTTATTCTCGGGTAATAACTTTATTATTGCTTTATAAGAATAAATCTCAATCAGAAATGTATTACCTGACTTTGCATGAGAATAAGCTGCTAAGTATATTGTGACCTTAGTAGTTCTAATTATGATCCATGTGGAACTAGTCAGTTGCTGTGTTTCTGCGAGTCTAGGGGTTGTCTTTTACATAAAAAAGGAAATTGAGAGTGAGTGGTTTAATAGAAAAGGAAACAGCAATGGAAAGCCCGCAAAGAACAGCAGCTGGATAATTTCTGAGAAAATTGTATCTCTACAGCATTATGCAAAACAAGCCCAACCCATCCTGCCAACTGCTATACACTTGTTTATACACTGTCAAACACATTTGTACACAGTCTTATTCCTATACGTCTCCAATGATTAATCTCTGACTGCTCTCGTGCCCTATGTGCTCCCTCTGTTCTTACTGCAGAGCTGAAATTTCCATGAAAAGAAACCCTCAGAATCATCTTATGTAAATGGAGAAGAGCTTGCACAGTGATTTCAATGCCTGTTTTGGCCACTTATAACATTTTCCTTGTGGCTCCCAGTATTCTTCAGCCTCAACCGTAATAACTCCTTGTATTACTCCATGGATATTTCACCATGGTGTTAAGCAGGTGGGCTCTGACCCTACAAACTTGGTCAACGTAAGACAGATTTTGGTCCAAAGCTTTGCAGATTCATTATGTTCTTTTCAGTTCATTGATAGAGGAGTGTATGGTTCTCACCATTGAAGGCTAAATTCTTTGTCTAAAAACAACAGATGTAAAGCTATCTGAAACAATTGCCTGACTTTTTCCTAACTGTAGCTGAAATGCTAAGTCGCAGCCTGAACCAGTGATTGAACATCTGGTGGGAAGGCAGGGCCAGCCCATGGAGCTCAGCTGCATGCAATAAACCTGAGTGACCAGAAGGGGTAGAGCCAGCATCCATCCTTTCCCAGACCTTATTTAAGGTTGGCAATGGAGAGACAAGGGTTTCTTGGTGGACATTCTTGCTTGCCTGAGGCTTTCTAAAAGTAAGTAGCTTCTTTCCTTTATATCTGTGCCCATGGCTGTTGCATTTGTGCAAATCCTACTAGTTGTAGTCTGGGACCTTGCTTCTGAACTGTCTTTGCTGCGCTTTCCATCACGTTACACAATCACTGTTTCAAAGTCTTCTAGAACCTTGTTCACAACGTGTGCTTTTTGAGTGGAGTATTTTTGCATCTACTGGGGTCATGTAGTATACTCCTTAACAAGTTATCTGTCTTTCACATTCAGAAGTCTGTAGGATAGTTATGGATATCTTGAGTTTATTTTCATTACTGGATACTCACGATGGATTCATGATCACAGAATTGCGGGGGTTGGAAGGGATCTAAAGAGATTGTTCAGTCCAATCCCCTGCTAAAGTAGGTACCTTACAGTAGATTGCACAGGTAGGCATCCAGATGAGTCTTGAATATCTCCGTAGAAGGAGACTTCACATCCTCTCTAGGCAACCTGTTCCAGTGCTCTGAAACACTTACTGTGAAGAAGTACTTCCGTGTGTTTTTATGGTTTGTATGAAGCTGTTTCAGCACCTGAAGTCATCATTTTCTTCTCTTTTACATGAAGCAAAGTCTGTGATATAGAAATGTAGATAAACATGGTGGGCGTAAAGTCGTTACACCCTGTCTGATATTCTGTCTCTGCTCATAGCTTACAGTGGGTGCACAGAAAAGTGTAGTAAGCACAGAAAAGTGCACAGTAAGTAATTAAATCCTTACCTGATATTTTTACCTGGCATCTGGCCCAGAGCCTTTCTGAGAAGTCTTATTCCTTTGTAAGAAATAATGAATAATCATTCCTTATTTACAATTTCACTCTTGTTTGTGCTACTTTAATCCTCTGTCATACCACCTCTGGGTTTTGTTTTGTTTTCCCAAGATGAGGAATTCTGGTGGGACTACCCTCTCTTCATATTAATTCAGTATTTCTGATATCGTTAGTTGGACTTGTGCACCTTTTCTATTTCTTCAGTGTATTCTGCCGTGTTAATTTAGGCATGAGAGGACAAGAACTGAATACAAGATTAAAGAAATAAGTGATTGAGCCAGTCAATGATGATTGGACTCTCTCACTGCCATTATTGTTTGTCTGCTCTTACGCCTTCTTTGATGTTGTTTTGTAGATAGAATTATTTTTCTGTAAAGTGAATTACACTGCACTTATTAACATTGAACTTAATATCCCTCTTATACCTCGTAACTCAGTGTTTTCCATCGTGATTATATTTGAGTACTCCAGTTAAAACTTTGGACCTCTCAGTTACCCTCTTTTCCAGATCACTTATTATGCTGAACAACATAAATTCATGGGGGAGTTCACTTAAAGCTTTATCCAATATAAAAAATAACCACTTGTTTTCTGTCTTTTGCTTGCCTTTAATCTATGTAAAGGAATATTCCATTTTTATTTTTTGAGGGAATTCATGAAGCTTTTCAGAAATCTAAATAGAATACAACATCAAGATGACTCTGTTAGCTCCTGGAGCTCTTTCAAGAGTTCTAGTAGTTTTGTGAAGCATTAATTCTCTCTATCTACTACTTCTGTTTTTCATTATGGTCTATATCATCTACGCAAAAACCAATATTTCCCTGTATTCTTTTTTGAGTCCTTCTCAAAAAAATCTCATTTGGTACTTCCTTTTCTCTGGTACTGAAACTAAACAAAGCCTTTGATTATTTGCTGTAATTATTTGGTCAGCAATTGCATTTTGAGTTCCTGTATAGATTTTTATTATAAGAAAGCAAGTGAGTACAAATATAGGTTATGCAAGGCTTGTAGGAAAGATACTTGTATTTTATTAAACCAAAGGATTTATTTGGAAAAAAAAAAAAAAATCATAAATTATCATTTTTCTTTACCTGTCTTGACTCATTTACCCTTTCAGAAAATTGAGGCTACAGAAATCCTACTTTTATAGCATGGGTGGATTTGCAGAAGACTTAAGTTCTCTTCTGAGTTTTTAAACGATTCTTTTAAACAGGTCTTTTGTTACTGCAAACATTTGGCACTTTAAGTAGCTTTTTGGGCTTATTATTGTCTCTTTATTTTGTTGTTGCTCTTTCAACTTGTACTGGGTCTTGTTTATTATTTAGCATTAAATGATAGTTTATCTTTTTTTTTTTTCCTTGCATGTACTTTCATTAAACAGCTCCAAGAAGCAATTATGTACAGTGACTAATCTGTACC